TGTAGAGCCAAACTTCCTGTCGCTGTTGACGCGTACGAAGACACTGGCTGCACAACGGGTAGAATGTCTGGCGGATTGAACTGAAAGTTTGGGTTGTGCGGGAATATTGGGCTGTACGAGTTGCTGCCGTCGAGATATATCGGGTTTAAGGGTGGAAGGTTGACAGACGATGAATTCGACATTGTCGCCGAGGGTAGGTTGCCGAAAGCGTTGTACCCGCTGATACTAGGAGGTGGCATGTGCTGTGTCGTCCCCAACGACGTTTGCGCAGGAGACATTTCGACGGCAGTAGCCCTATCCGCTGGATGCGCCCCCGCAGAAGGTGGTAGAGACTGCTTTTCTGGACATCGGCTGTTACTTCTATACCGATGCGGTCTAACTGCACTAGAAACCTCGACCGGGTTTGGCGTCATACTTGGCGAACCCCATTCTGCACTCGGCTCGGCCAACCTCGTCGTTTCCTTTGGCGTTGCATTCTGGCTATTAGATTTATCGGTCACGGCTTGGTAGATGCACTGAGAGTCAATGAGACAGTGTCAGTTGGTACAAGAAGATGAGATGGAATAGTCTTCACCTACCGGCGTGTCTCTAGATTTACAGTTTTTACAAGTCGGTTTCCCTTCATCGCATCGCACTCTTCTCGACTTGCACATGTCACAACCATTCCTGGACCGCCGATGGAACCTTCGAATCCGGTTTGTGGGCGAGCTCGGCAAGGAAGGATACTTGCACTTTTGGCAGTCGTCAACGGTCGTTCAGTATGGAAAGGAGACTGACTGCTGAAGACATACCTCGTATTCACGCCTCATGCAACGATCACACCTTGGTCTCACTTCATCACACTTGACCTTGCTCTTCTTACACGCCGCACAGGGGTACGGTCTTTGCTTGTTGGACGACGAAGATGCAGCCTGACTCGAAAACTGGTCGTGCGTCGTCACGTCGCTCGCTGGACTGTCCATGTTGAACGGTGACGCGATCGACGTCACCCGCGACCTTGACGGCTCTGGTGGGAGATACATCTGTGACGCAGATGTTTCGGTCGTGGAAGAGGCTGCCATTGAAGGAAACGAGGCGGAGGAAGGTGGCATAGCAGGATGATTCATGATTCCGAGGCTAGAGATGACGATATCGTCTAATCGACGAAACTAATGCTGTCGAGAAGGGCGCGGGAGCACGTGCGGATGCTGATAGCAAGTAGGTAGTGGTGGACGCGAGCGAGATACTGAAAAAGGTTGTAACAACATGGCAACATGGACGCATAGTAGATAGTAGCTTAGGCGCGCAGGGAATAAAATTGGGAAAGAGACTAGAGAAGTCGGCCTGCACAGCGCGGCTTGGCGGGTATTACTTGTTTTTCGACAGCACTGTCACTCCTGGTCGCAATTAGGGGGTTTGTTCATGTGTTTACAATTCGTTTTAATGTCATTTCTCGGTTTACAACTATGGGCTGACATGATGAAGGGCATCTCTTTCAAAGCGGCTTGCAGGACGACGCTCTTGAAGCTCGCTCAGTACACGTATCGGAAACTGTAAGGGAAAGGTCAGTATCTATCAGCGCCCGTATCACTTCCTTAAATGTTCTTTGGCGACTCCTCACTTGGGGTTCTCTTTGTCCGTCAAATCACTAAACGCCGTGCTGTTCTCATCCGTATAACCCATCTCGGCAGCGGCCTTTTCCTTCTTCTTATTCTCATAGATGAATGCGAAACGGAGTATAAGGAAGATGCAGAATTCGAGGCAGTTGGCGACAAGAAGGGATCCGATACCGAGCTGGTATCGCGGCGCTTGGCTGGTGAGATAGAAGAAGGGGGAGATGATGTTGCCGATGCATGCGCCTGCGGACGGGACAAGATTAGTCGCATGCTCGACGACGGAAGTCGATTGTACTTACCGAACCAGATCATGCCTGAAACAATCATCTTCTTGGATTGACCGCCGGTGTTACTCGTAATCAAACTTAGACCGAGGACGAACGAAGCCTGGTAAGAACCGGTGAGATAGCTGCAAAACTAATCCATCAGACCATTTTCCGCCCATACAAATAAGCTTTCCAGACTCACAAGCAGATCAACCTTGCGACATAAGCCTTTTCAGGCGCAAGTAAGAACCCGAGTCCTCCGGCAATAGTCGGGATCATGAACAGCATACAGACGATCGTTCGACTGTTCTTGGGCAATCGATCGTTGAGGAGCGCACCAGCGGCGATAAAGCATACGACAATAGCGCCTTGCGGTAAGGCCATGAGCGCGGTTTGGAGGGTGGTGAAGCCGAGACCCTTGATGACGAGGGTGGAGAAGTTTGAGATACCGCCATTCTATTACAATTGCCCAAGGGTGTCAGTGGAGCTTCGGTCGGCATGATGGAAGTTGCTGCCCTACAGGAATGTTCTATTACAAAGCAAGGGTCAGCGATGAAATTGCCAGGCAAGAGGTCAACGCAACTTACTCCGATCATCCCGAGCGAGAAGAAGATCCAGGTCTTGTAGTCCAAAAACGCCTCTCGAATCTGGTCCCATCGAATCTTTCGACCTTCGACGCCAGTCTGATTTCGTCGGAGTCGCGCAATGATCATCAATCGCTCGTCGTGGGTGAACCATCGGTTGGTGGTGGGCGAGTTGCCAATGGTAAAGGCGAGGGAGATACCCCATGCCGCGCATACGGCACCGACGATCAGAAACTCGTATCTCCAGCTCTGGAGCGACCCCTTTATGTGCCCTATGGCGAATCCGATGAGACCGCCGAGGCCGACGCCAACACCGTTGAAGGCATACCTATCGATGGCAGCGGGTAAGCTGGGGATTATGGTAATCGCGCGAATAAAGAAACGACTGCTCACCAAGATGAGATACGGGATGGCTGTTCCGCCCTAGTGTAGTATTGCGTCGTGAAGAACATGAAGGCTGGATCCGCGATCGCTTCAAAGGCGCCACTGATCACACGCAGGACCGCCAACGTGGCGAAGTTCTTTGAGACCGCTTGAAGCCTGGAAGTGGCGCTAAGACCTAAGCAACAGCTAGAGGTGATTTTGCATTGCTGGAGGGGACTCACATCAACGTAAAACCCCATAGTGAGACGTTTGCTGAGAGGTAAAATGCAGGTGGGGATCGCTGCATCAATAGGTTCGAAGGGATTGCCCAAATCAGCCACCCAAAGTAGAAGATACTGTGGTAAATTTGGCGCGTTAGCGACGTTGAAACCAACTGTGAAACGCGGATGGAACGAACGCACCTGGACAACCATGAGTACTCGGTGCCCTTGAGATGGAGATCTGTCTTGATGCCGAAGATTGCGGCGTAGCTGTAACAGACAGACCTGGTTCAGTCCTAGCCTTGTCGCGCGACATGCGACTGAGAAAAAAGACCCGATACTTACGAAAGAGTAGTCTTGTCCACGTAGTAGAAGAAATAGCATATTCCCAATATGGGAATCATGATCTTGTCAATCTTCCTGAGGAAGGGCCGAAGCAGAGGTGAGGACAAGTCAGTAAACCTGTCACTAGGCGCATATGCGCCAGGGTTACTGCGACGTTGTTGCAAAATCACCTAACGAGCTTCTTCTCGACTGCCGGATCGATGCTCCCTTCCTTTCCGTACTTTTCCAATGCCTCTGCATACATCGCTGTCGCAATTCCAGTTACATTGCCTAAGTTACTACGGCTGATGCCGTCTTCCACGTCGACTTTCTTCGGCGAATCCACATCTTCGACGCAGTCTTGCTGCTCTTTCGCCTCGAGCGCAGGTTTCTCGTCCTCGTAATAGGCTGGAGCGGTGGACATGGCTGGTTCTCGCAGATATTTCTTGCTTCGATTAGCAGATTCTACACGTTGCTTGTCGTTTTCGGGCGGCCTTTATAGATCCTGAAGCTCACGCCACAATGCCACAACGGAGATCCGTGGCGAGCTCTGTGGCGCTTGGTTTCCTTATATAGACCGGGCATGCCATTATCACATGAATTCATTGTCCATCAACGCCAAGATAGCTGCTGAAGGATCGGAAGAGTTGCTTGCGAGTAGGTATTTTCTCATACTTTCGACGGCCCGTCTGATCCGTCCAGATGTGCTGCCGCGTCCTAGAGCGCATTTATCTCATCTGCCTGAATGTGAGCGTTATATTTCCGTCACAGATTCGAGCGGGCGGTAACAGAAGGTTAGGGGTATACAGCAACGACTTCATGGATGGAAATCAGGGATACAAGATCTGCTCGAGGAGCCAGGGTACCGTAATATTCGTTGAACGCAGCTGGTATCGCTGTCAAGCAATTTAGCGCCTGAAGAAAGAAGGCTAAAAGAGCTGCTAAAAGGGGATTCCGAAGTACATCAGTAGTACATTTCGACCTACATGTAGGGTATAGCCGATAGCAGGGCGGAATCTGCGGGGAAATCTTGATACCCCAGCTGCACAAGCTAGCTGACAAGCTGCTGGACAGTACTTGGACAGTAGCCTGGTCCAGCTGCTGGTAGGTCTACTGGTCCCCCATATCTTTCCCCCCATCCCCCATACATGTACACCATACAAGTAATTCGCCGAATGCCTCGGGATCGGACCGTCTTTCATACATAGTCGTCGCCTTGAGCGAGCCGCTATTCGCTATTGCGCAGTGAGCAGCGCGGTCCACTCGTCCCTTGCCCACTTCTTGCCCCTCCGTCAGACTCTCAAGCAATACTGTAACATGTTTGACGTCCTTTCGACCCTTCCTCATCTCCGCTTTGCTGTTAAGGAGGTCGACCTGATTCAGTCCAGATCAGATCACTTGATAGGCTCGCACCTGGTCGGCAGTCCGGCCCTTCGTTCTTCTGTAGAACGGCATGCTGATATTCGGAATACGAGCGGAGCGAGAGCCGTTCTCCTCTACAGGTTCACTATCAATGAGCAACCAGACTCTAGAAATGGATATGGCCGACGCGAGAAAGTGGAAGTCGAAACATCCATAGGCCAACAGCCAGCCAGTGGCAAAAAGGCTGCTAAGGGTGTCTTGATGTAAAGAAAGCAAAAAATACCATGACCAAAGTGCGGTTCGAACGCACGCGTCTTGCGACACCACGATGTTGATTCGAAGAAACAACCTGAACGTGGCGGATTAGACCACTCTCCCATTTGGCCAGTTGATGTTAGACATGCAAATTGATAAAATATATTGATTTGAACTATGGGTGTTTAGTTGACGATATTTTTCCATGTTTGTGTGTTGATGTTGTTTGCATTGTCAATAGTACAAAAGGGCTAACCCGTCGTTGGAAAATCTGTAAATCGGAACCCCCCGGCCACGAGTTAACAACTTATCATCCGTCTCGGCAATCTTCCAAGCAGTTTCTTCAAGTGAGTCCCGGCTCTCCGGTGCCGAACGATGTCCTCAGCCCCAGACACCGCCGTATGAGATTATTGCTGTAACAGCTGCTATTATAACATATATCCGGGTCCTCTGCACAATCAGCAGGTCATTTCCGAGTCCACGGCAATTCTTTTCATTAATTCCTGACTCGTCAATTCGTCCTCGCAGATCTTAGTAGTCCGAGTGTCCCCACGATGAAGTTTCAGGTGCTACAAGTTGGCTCGCGCGTTCAGTTTACGCCCGCAAGCAACACCGGCGCCGCTTTCGTATACTTGCTGTACAACTGTTTCCTCCTTCAGTCCCAGCTTTTCCTTGCAGTCCATACGGACCCCACCCATAGTCCCCTGCCTAGTGCCAGGGACCCTCTATTGATCGGCACGGTATGCAACGTTCGGCGATGCCTGGTTGACAGGCAACACAAAGATCTCTGCGACATTGCTATCACGGGACGCATACGAGAGCCGGCAATCAGTCCGCCAACGCTCTTTCCTGCTGCAGAACGCAAAGAACTCACATATGGTCCTTCCTACTCGCGGCCCAAACGATATCTTCTGCCACATCCTCCGCTACAAGCGGCTGTAGGCCTTTATAGACGGACTTGGCCTTGTCTGCGTCGCCTCGGAATCGGGTGATGGAGAATGCTGCAGGCCCGAGGTGAGCGTCAGCAGCGTGAAGACATGGGTAGACGTGGAAACTTACAGGTTTCGACCATGCCTGCGCGAAGATGAGCAGCAGTAAGCAAACCAACAAGGGCCTGTATCCGTTGATATATAGCAACCTACCTGGTTGAACTTCAGTGACTCGAATAGGCGTATTGACGAGTTCCTTCATCAACGCCACGGTAAACCCATGAAGTGCATGTTTCTACTCAAGGATGGTGTAATCAGCCGTTGAAACTAGAAGGGAACACGAGGAATACAAGACGTACAGTCGCACAGTAGATGGAACCACCGGCGTATCCTTCACGCCCGGCAACGGATCCCAACTGGATGATATGGCCCGCATTGTTCTGCTTAAAGTCTACCGGTGGAAGAGAAGTCAGTATTAAGAAAGCTACTTTCACCGCGGCAGACGTACGACGGACGAAAAGTTGGGTCTGTCGGGTAACGCGTTAGCACCGACAGGGAGAATGGATTGGAGGCGGACGGCGGACGTACGAGGTGGATCATTCCCATGACGTTGGTGTTGAACATGGTGTCCGATTCGGTTTCATTACTGTCCACATGAATGTTCATCAGTCAACACGAAGGCTATGTGGCGGATCGAGTACTCACATATCCCCAACATGGTCCGTGCCGTACACGAGTCCGGCATTGTTCACAAGAATATCGACCTTTCTGAAATCGGCTGGAAGCTTGTCAAAGATGCCTGGCGAGGAAAGGATGCGTAAGTGCGTGGAGCTTTGTAAAGCGGCAAGGAGGAAGTTACAAGGGAAAGTCACAAAACAGCCATCGCCCAACAGCGAAATATTGCCGCGCACATCGGCTCGCGGAAGACACATTTCGTGGGTTCCGCCCGGTACTGCTTTCAGACAGTCTGACCAAGGCTCAAAGAGAAAGGAGAACATCCGAGTTGTGACCGTCAAACGCGAAAGACACGGGTTCTCGCTGCGCTTGGCTCGAGAGGGTGTCGCTCCATACGATGATTCTCGGCCGCTCTAGGACGGCCTCGAAAGAACAGCAGGAACTGACGGTCGCGCTCACACGCTCGGTGAAGGCACTGAATTTCGGCGACCCTATGGTGGCCTCGAAAAGGTTGAAAAACCAATGCCCGGCCGTCCTATAACGCCCTCGAAAAACCAAAAGCACTTCTCCCTTCGTTGATCTCTCGCGCGCTCGGTGAAGACAGCTACGCTCGGCCATCCTACGGTGGCCTCGAGAAGAAAGGGCACTGAGTCTCAGCCGTACGGCGGCGGCCTCGAGAGAGGCAAAGAACAAGATGCTCGCGCGGCATACGCCGTGCTCGGGAAGACACAAGACACAGAGTCTCGCTTTGCTCGGGAAGAACCTGCTACTCGGCCGTCTTACGACGGCCTCGCGAAGACACTGATTCTCGCTGCGCTCGAGGAGGCACTGACTCTCATCCGCCATACTGCGGCTTCAGGAAGAGAGAGTCTTACAGACTCGTAGCCGGCGACGCTCTCTCGCTCTGCTCGACTGGTTCTCGCTTCGCTCGATGCTCCGCTCAACTCACCATCAACGGCCCTCCTATCCGCCACATCCAAAACCACTTCCACCACCCTCCCACCCTGACCCGTACCACCCTCTTTGTTCGCCTTCCTGCACCCTTCCGCCACGGCGGACAGCTGCTCCTTTCTCCTCGCTGCTACAATCACATTCGCTCCTGCTCGCGCAAATAGGATGGCTGTAGCTGCACCGATACCGCCTGATGCGCCCGTGATGAGAGCTGTCTTGTTGAATAGTCGGGAAGTTGAGAATATGCCGGCCATTGTTGGTTGTTTGGTTGGTTGGTATGCTTGTTGAATAACTCTGATGCTGTGTTCCGTAAAAATGGGGATGAGACTATATAACTGCAAACACAAAGACCGGGCCAAGGGTCAAGACGAGCACGCAAGATCACGCTTCGGGCTTATCCGTCAATCGGTCCGGACGTCGTGGAAGGACGATGAAATGAAGATGTAACAGCTTTTCAACATTTACAACACCAACGACCGTCAAAACTGGGTTACGATGGCCAACCCTCCGCTACCACTACCACCCAAAATGACAACAACGACAACCCACGCACCACCCACTCCTCGGCGCGTTCCATCGTTAATCCCACTCCTCCTCCTTCCACTCTCTCTAACACTCATAACACATCCACTTCTCTCCGCCGCTCGTGCATCACCAACACTATCAACCTCATTCCTACGACACCTCCCGCTCCCTCAAGCAGCTCCGAACTTCCCAGCACTGGAAGCATGTGTAGGGTTCTCTTTGGCTGCGTTTGTTGCGGTGATATATGCGGTACCGGGTTTGGCAGAGGCGTTTATGCGGAAAGGGTTTCACGGACGGGATTTATTAAAGGGTGATAAAGGGGAATACATGTATGCCTCTCTCGCCTCTTCTTTCTTGCTGTGTCTGCAAAGCGCTGATCTTGTCATGTTTGTATGCGCCGGTAGACCGGAAAGCATGGGTTTACCTTGTGCGGCCATCTATATCGCGTGTATGATGGTGTTTATTCCGTTCCCGTTTTCACACTATTTTGAAGCTTCTCTCGACAACGGATCCTCGAGGGGAGTTGGTGGCAAGCTGAATGAACTAGAGATGGGTGGCGCAGGGGCGGTGGGCACACGGACTTTTCCGCATCAGGAGGTACGTCCTGTCCTCCTTTCCTTCCACCTATCCTTGGAAAACATGCTAACCCCGTAACCTATGCACAGCTTACGCTCTACCTTTCAGCACTCCTCTCACTCCAAACAGCGACCCTCCTCGGCTTCCTAGACGACATATTCGACATCAGATGGCGCCACAAACTCCCAATCCCGCTAATCGCCAGTATCCCTCTCTTACTCGTCTACTACGCCGAATCCGGGTTAACAACCGTCGTCATGCCAACCCCTTTACGCGGAGTATGGGGCCTTGGAAGAACAGTGGACCTCGGGTGGATGTATTATGCGTATATGGCGCTGTTGAGTACGTTTGCGACTAACAGTATCAACATACTCGCCGGCGTCAACGGGTTAGAGGTCGCACAGGCACTCGTCATCGCGTTATCCGTCGTCGTCAATGACTTGCTGTATATTCCCGTGTGGCCGAGGGTGGTGGTGGCAGGATGGACGGTGTTGGATGGTGGTGCGATATTGCAGCGTGGCAGTGCGGAGCTTGTGCAGCGGCATTTGTTGAGTTTGTATTTCATGGGGCCATTGATTGGTGTTTGTGCCGGGTTCATGTTTCATAACTGGTACGCATCTCCCTGTCCTAGTACTTTACATGCCCATCGGCACCAACGCATACGACGCTCATCTTTTTCCTACCTCCAATGTTGTGCAGGTACCCGGCTCGAGCGTTCCCCGGCGACACGCTATGCTACTTTACAGGCATGGCCCTCTCCGTCATTGCAATCCAAGCCCACTACTCGAAAACATTACTCCTCTTTTTTATCCCGCAAATCTTCAACTTTGTGTTGAGTTGTCCGCAGCTGTTTGGGCTTGTCGAGTGTCCGAGGCATCGAGTTCCTACGTACGTCATGCCCGTTTTTCTTCCTGTTATTGTGAATAAGCGGGTGCCTGCCTGTGGAGCCTGACTCGTCGCTGCTTGATAGATTCGTCCAGGAAACAGGTAAACTCGTTCCCTCTGTCGTCCGCTTCCCAATGTCCCCAAAACCATTGACCAGGCACACGCTTCGTCTGCTGTCCCTCCTTCGGCTCACACGACTCACGCGCGACCCTCAAACCGGCGTAATACGGACTGCAACGAATTTGACGATCCCGAATCTTCTGCTTGTTCATCTTGGACCACTGAGGGAACCGACGTTGACGCTTTGGGTCATTGCGCTGCAGTGTGCTGGGAGTTGTGTGGCGTTGGGGATTAGGTATGGGTTGGCTGGGTTGTTGTATGATGGTGATAGGCGGTAGTCCCATGTAGCACTATTGACTCGAGGGGAGAAACACACGGCTGTCATTTTCGCTTTGGCTGTGCTGCTGATGTAAGGTTTGGGACTGGTCGGTCGGCGGTGGCAAAGTAGATTACGTCGGCACTGACGAGCGGGGGACTACGGCGAAGGCTCCGTGTGATAGATAATTCGGTACATGTGTTGTTTGAGCGTT